TATATCTATATCTATAGATATATATATAGATATATAGATAATTATATATAGATAGATGGATATATCTATCAATCATATGCAGATGTTATGCTGTGTAATGTAGTTCTAACTGTTTGTTGTTGTTTTTTTGCTCTATCCAAAACAAAACTTTTTGACTGGCTTTCTATTTTCATATGCAAGAGAGAAATGATTAATAAATGTTGGTTTTCATCTTGTAGAATCTTGCTTTGATTTAGCACCAGAAAAGTTAGTGTCGGTCTCTGAAGCTTGCAGTCCACCTGAATCCCCACCCTGTGGAAGCAGTATTGTTAAAGTGCCTTCTGGTATCTTTGATGCAACAGGGAGAAAGAATAGTAGTGGTGAGTTGTTTGTGAGAAGTACGTGTGTGTGTGACATCCTCATATGACTTTAAAATGCATAGCCCTAATTCAGTTATGATTGTGTTGCTTAAGCAAATCTTGTGTGTGTATCTTGGTTATAGGCGCCCTGCCAGCCCAGCTACCTACAGTTAAAGACTCTGTTGATGACTCTGTCTTTCTAAGTGAAGCTCAGAGTAAGAAATCTGAAGAGAGGGCCCAGAAGAGACAGAAAATGTTTACAGAAAGAAGCTGCAGTTTCAGTGCGGAGAGCAGGGCAGGCATGATGCTGAAAAAAGGCAGTCTAGACATCACAACCAATGAAATGGCTATGAAGATGGGAGCAGATGCCAAGATCCTTACAGCAGCACTTTCAAAGACCCCACCACATCCACAGACAAGCACACAGTTCAATTTTGAAACTGTAGATGGCCAACCTCCCTCTTTGACAAAAGAAAGGCAAAAAGGTCATCAAAGAAACACAGCTGAACAGACTGCAGAACAGACACCAGTACAAAGATTGCAGGAAGTGTTTGACCCCTTAGATACTGTCAAAGAGGAAAGCACAGTGGAGTCTCCTGAGACTGTGCAACCTGAAGAAGACGAAAAGCCTGTTACTGAAAAAAACACAGAGGAATCAAGTAAGAGAAACAGTTTATATGGTGTCCCTAAAGCAGTGGAGCGGGAAGGAGTAAAGACAGGCCTTGATCCATTATCTCTTCTGGCATCAGAATCAGTGGAGAAAACACCACCCCCAGCTGAGGAGAAAACAGTATCTCCAGTTGTTGCACGTAACCTAGCAGATGAAATTGAAAGCTACATGAATTTGAAAAGCCCTCTTGGCACCAAGTCATCCAGCATGGAACTTAGAAACAAGGAGTCTACTAAGGAAGAAGAAAAGCTCAGTCAAGGTAGCCTTGAGAGGAGGTCAAGTCTGCCGGTAGACTCTGTGCCTTCTGCTGATGTGCAGACTGAGAATCAGAAGAACTCTGTGTCTAGGTCTAAAACCTTTGGCAACAGTCCAAAGCATCACCTGAGAAACCAAAAGGAGCGTTCTCTCTCACTGACTGCTCTCGTGCGCAACTCACAACATGGATCTTTGGGTTCAATGGTAAATTCACTGCCTGGACTTAAACTTGACCATCTTTTGACGGGGCCCAAAATGGATGTGCTAAAATCCAGCATGAAGCAAGCAGCCACTGTAGCCAGCAAGATGTGGGGAGCAGTAGCATCTGCTTATAACTATTCTGATGAGGAGGTTTGTAGTGTATCTTATCCGTATGTTTACACATTGAAGTAAAATTGGCATAATTTTTTTATACTCTAGTGCAGAAAAAAAGGATCTGTTTTATAATACTTTTTTCATTTCGGAATATGTTTACAAATTTCAAATGAACCTTTTGGTAAGTAATCACAATACCTATCAATTGATAAGCTAAAAGATATAGTAGCAGTTTATTATCAGTTACCGTTTACACCCTGTATGATTTCCTTTTTTGCAAAATGAACAGACTGGTTTAGTTTTCAGTGGCATATCTGGGGTCAGGGTATTGTATTTCTTTCTTATTGACTATGTCCTAATATATAATACAGGAGGATGGCCATCAAGGTAACACCCTCTTTCCTTCAAGTGTTGATGAACACATTCAAGGTGACAATATCAAGACAACATTGCATGGATTGTCTGCCAACAACCTGAATCACAGCACTACCAGCCTGGGCAGCAGCAGCAGTGGAGATACCGGCAAACAGAGCTACACAAACAGTATGTTTCGGTTTTCATTCCAATCTGGTGCTGTGTAGATATAAAGGATTTATTATGCGGCTAATTTAAAGGGAAACTAGAGTTGTTTTGGTTCATAGTTTAAAATGGATGTTTTATATCTGTCTTTTACTATTTATATTTCTTTGTTTTACTAATATTTAATACAGGGTGCACCCATGGCACAGATTTTACTATACATTATGGGTTTTCTATAGAGAGAGTACAGTGCTTCTACTGCACTGTGACCAAAACCTGGTACATGAACAGAAGGGGGGGGGGGTTGGAGACACTTCTGTGACTAATTCAGTTAAGTGTGTAAATTTCTAATTGAGCTATTGAGCTCTGCGTTTTTTTGCTTTGTTTAGGAAAGTAGGCAAGAATTGCCTGGAAAACATGATATGAACAGGAGCCTGTAGCTGAAATTATAATTACAAAATATTCATATGGTATTTTTCATATTCACCTGAATTTAAAAAAAAACTTGGTAAAGAAAATAAGTACAATTCCACTTTGCGTCCCCTTTAACAAAGCTAATCGAATATTTTGTTTCCCCAGTTGCAGTCAGTTAAAACACCGCTTTTATTTTTAAAATATATGAACAGAAGAGCTAACAGGATTATATGATTGGCATCACTAGTTGAAGTATTTTTGAAATGTTTGCAGTGTATTTATATTGTGTTTTCTTGCACAATGTTAATATTATGGTTGGTCTATCTTTGGGAACATCTGAGGTACCCCTGGTACCTACATAAATACATCTGGTTCTCTTCACCTGATATATTATACTGTTCGCATGGTCTTTGCTCTGCGTGAGTGTATGCAAATGACATTGTGGCTGGGCCTTTTAGTCTTATGAAATTTTTCTTGCTTCTATGACATTGTAGCTCGCTAAAATTAATCCTCGCACTACTTTATAATTTTCTTTGTTCATTTTCACTACAGCATGCAACTTCTTCATTGAGCCATTATTATATTATTATTATACAGGATTTATATAGCGCTAACAGTTTGCGCAGCGCTTTACAATATAAGGAAGACATTACAGTTACAATACAAGATGGTAAGGAGGGCCCTGCCCCTAAGGGCTTACAATCTGAAAGAGGAGGGGGAAATGATACATAAGGAGGGAGCTGTGTGGGGATGAATTATTTGAGAATGTGAAGGTTCAGTGGATAGGTCGAGGTGGGATAGGCTTCCCTGAAGAGATGAGTCTTTAGGGAACGCCTAAAGGCAGTCAAGGTGGGAGATAGACGGACAGGTTGGGGTAAAGAGTTCCAGAGGATGGGAGAGACTCTAGAGAAGTCCTAGAGGGGAGTATGGGAGGAGTGGACAAGGGAGCTGGAAAGCAGGAGGTCAATGGATGAGCGGAGGTGACGGTTAGGGTAATACTTTGAGACAAGGTCTGAGATATATCCAGGGGCAGAGTTGTGGATGGCTTTATACGTGACTGTTAATATTGTGAATTTTATCCTCTCGGCGAGTGGAAGCCAGTGTAGGGATTGGCAGAGGAGGGATGCAGACACTGAGCGGTTGGTAAGGTGAATGAGTCTGGCAGCTGCATTCATGATAGACTGAAGGGCGGATAGCCTGTGTAGTGGAAGGCCAATGAGGAGGGAGTTACAATAGTCAAGACAAGAGATAACAACAAGGGAGTTGATAAGTAGTTTTGCGGTTTCTTTGGTGGGGAAGGGGCGTATTTTTGAGATGTTACGAAGGTGAAGGCGGCAGGATTTGGATAGCGATTGGATGTGGGGAAGAAAGGTGAGGTCCGAGTCAAGGATGACACCTAGGACCTTGGCAAGAGGGGAGGTTTGGATAGTTGTGTTATCAATCAGAGGGCGGTTTCAGTGGAGTGTTTGGGGCGAAAGCCGGACTGAAAGGGGTCCAAAAGGTTGTTATTAGCGAGGTGGCAACTCAGGCGGTTGTAGATAAGGCGTTCTAGTAGTTTAGAGGTGAATGGGAGTAAGGAGATAGGTCTGAAATTATTGAGGTTGGTAGGGTCCAGTGAAGGTTTTTTGGGTATTGGGGTGACTAGTGCATGTTTGAGAGGGGTAGGAAAGATTCCAGTAGAGAGGGAAAGATTGAAAATGTGGGTAAGAGAGTCTAGGATAGAGCAAGAGGGTAAACAGTATATAACAAAAGCGCCAACGACTTGTGTCCAAAACCGGAGAATGACTGCAATGATCTCAAGCAAAACCGCAGATGGGGCAAGCTCTCAGATAGGCTATAGGGGAGCCTCAACTCTGAAAGAAACAAAAGACAAAGAGCGCCTCCATCGCGTAAAAACGTTTTAATGAAATGGGTTTTAAACAAGTGAAACAATACTCACAAAGGTAGAATTTTTACAGGCATACATAGATGAAATTGTGAAAGATTGGTTCTGACGAAGGAGGCGTGGCCTCGGAAACGTTAACCTCAGGGAGGAAGATTAGCCGGTGGGCTAAGCTCTTTCACAATTTCATCTATGTATGCCTGTAAAAATTCTACCTTTTGTGAGTATGGTTTCACTTGTTTAAAACCCATTTCATTAAAACGTTTTTACGCGATGGAGGTGCTCTTTGTCTTTTGTTTCTTTCAGAGCAAGAGGGTGACCGAAGTAGTTTTGAGGGAACAGAGTCTAGGGGGCAAGTGGTGAGGTGGGTGTCAGAGAGAAGCTTAGTAACCTCCTCTGTGGTGACAGGGTCAAAAGAGGAAAGTAACAAGTGTGATGGAGGATCAGGTACTATAATAAAAGGGGCAGTTGATTGGACAGTGGCGATCTGATCTCGAATAGCATCTATTTTGTTTTTGAAATGAATGGCAATGTCCTGGGCAGTGAGTGATTGCTTTCATTGATTGCTTTCAATGCAGAATCAATTGACAAATGCAAAGATGCTGTCAAACATGTATTGTTTTTGTTATTTTTGTGTCCCGCTATCTGCTGTGCTGTAGCAGAAAGTTGTTTTTGTTTTGTTTACATTATATACCAAAGACTGTAAGAGACAAATCATCTAACAGTAATGCCAGGGGTGTACCTAATGGACTGGCAGATATGATTGTCATGGGACATAGAGAGATGGCAGTTTGAGCCTTGGTACAACATTTTGCATACCAGAAAAATCAAGGGTCTTGTGCAATTGCTGGACTTTGTTTTTATTAAATTGTAATGTATTTTATTTTTGTAAAAAGCATTGCATTATTTGGTGATAAATGTAATAACTTTTAGTAGCAATTGATATGCATATATAGGTTGCTCATGTGTTCCTATCTAAAGGTGATTTAGTACCTGGAAAAGGTGTTCGAGGCTTGGAGTTAGAGAGGTCAGAACATGGATCTTCTCCGAATACCAGCTTAACAAGCATTTTTCAGAACTGTGCCATTGAGGTGAGTGTGAAGATTGGTGTATTGGTGGAAGCCATCCTGTACAAGCAATATTTGTTTTGGGTTCTCCTAATAACATACTAGAAACGTCAATCATGTACACTAAGCATTTGCTGTAGTGTAAGTTAAATCCGATACCTGCATATGCTGAGTTCTAGCATGTTTTGTCACTAGGCTTTATTTATTAAAGCACCGTGCATGTACAATCTGTGTAAATACTCTGCCCTCTTCAAGTCCTGTGAGCAAGGATGAAAAGCAGTATACTATGACAGAGTTCAGCTATGGGTGTAATTGCACTTTTAGTTGCATGTATATGGTAGCCCCCAAACCCTTCACAGTCTTGTACTCAACTGCCCCTAATCCAATGATCCAATCATATATATTTTATGAGTATTGCCAAGAGAGTTAAAGCAGAAGTGTGTAAAGAGCAAAATATACTCTTTTCATGGCTTAGAGCCGGCATGGGACACTGCAGCTGTCACACACCGACTCTGTACAGGTAGCTGAACAATCATGTAACTGCTAATCGTTCAACTCAGGCTAGGTTCAGACCTGCACTACAATGCATGACACTCGGGACGTGCGATCGTGTTCAGGTGCACACAGCTATTGCCACGTGGCCCCATTGATTTCAATTGTGTTCCATCCGCGCGGTAATGGCTTTTTTTGCCATACACGACGTGCGGCTGTCTTAGCCACAATCGTGTTTGGAAGCATGGGCAGAATCCCGTGCGATATGCCCGGCGTGACTGGGGTGCCATTAGAAAATGATGGCACCCACAGCGCGATCGGTTCACACCTTGGCCACTCCTGACCGTGCGGCAATCGTGCACGATTGCTGCACGGTGAGGTGTCGCTTGGGTGTGAACCTAGTCTCACAATTTCTTCTCCCTGCAGGGAGCAGTGACTGTCATTCACCTATGTTCTAGGTAGAAAGCTCCAGCTTTTAGATAGATTTATGAGACAAAATTCACCACAGGAGTTTCTGAAGTAACTCCCTCTGCCTGCTTTGGTAGTTCAATGGTTCCACCGTGATGCTCCTTTCCAGGGTTGAAATACAAGGTGCGACATGATATATTGATCATATAGCTCTTGATATATTCATGATGGGCAAAGGTGGCCATTTTCAGTATATTGGAATGCAGGAAGAATATTTGGACACCGATTTATTCAGTCAGGTCTGATGTGCAGGATATGCAGGCTAGGATACCTAGGCCCAAGGAAGCAGATTTAGGTTCTGAGCCCTTGCAAACCATTATTAAATTGGAGCAATGTGAAGCTTATAATATAGCTGATCCTTCTACAAGTGTTGTCCTTTTTTTGTGAATTTTGAAACAAAAGGATGCAAGAGAAGCAATCTGCACATTTAACACACAACACCAGTGGTAAAATTTTTACACTTAAGAAGATATAAAGATGGCTGTGCCTGGAGGTCCTCTTTAAGCGTACTTGACACTAGGATCAATTCACTAAAATATGTGAATTACTTTTGCTATTTATGGACACCTACAGGGTAACTAGTGTTGATGTGGCTTTACATATGATTGCATTGTTAATATAAAGTAATCCTTTTCCTGTTTCTCATGGGAAAGTAATACTCTTTAACAAAACATATGCAATGAGACTTTCTCATTTGGGTATTGTAGCAGTTAAATTAAGTTCACACTCTATTAGTAAGCAGGGCGGGTTTTGAGAGCCTATACACTTCAGGATGCATTTGCCCTTTTGGGTGGTAGTTATTTTGCAGCTATTTATATATGTCAGCAGCCAGGGGGATGGCTTATGACAAGGACTTTTTGGAGTTTGTATATCTGTAACAATGCTGTTCAGTCTGCTTATGCAGTTTGATTGGCAGATACGTATATTATCAGCTTATGGCTCTGATTATGAGTTTTTTTTTCTGTGTGCATACTAAGAGTAATGGAATGATTTACCTTAAAGTGTTATTAAACCCTCTGATGTTTTTGCATATATCTACTGCTAGCGAGCAGTAGATATATGCAAAAAGTTAAAAAAAAACGCTTTAAAAGCGGTTTAAACTTACCCCTGTCTTCACCGCGGGCTCCCATCTGAAAATTCTCGGGCGGCCGCAAAGCATCTTGGGGTGGGCGCATGCGCAGTTCACATTTTAGGCCGGAAGACGAGGAGAGACACAAGGTAAGTCTATGGACAGTGTGCACCCGCATGCAGACACTGTGGGATCGGAAGTGCCAGCAAGGACAGAGGAGTCAGCACTGGATCGGAGACCCGCCGCAACGCTGGAGAGAAGGCTGAAAAGGACAGGAAAGAAGAGGAAGATCGGATTAAGGCTGGGCACACACCTTACAACAATCACATCACTTTTGTCTTGCGATGGTTGTAAGGTATTTAAAAAAACGTACGATCTGCCTATCTTGCACAGGCAGATCGTACTTGCGATGAGGGGCGGGCTTCCGATGACCGCAATGCCGAACGGGCTGTGTGCGCATGCGCACACCGGCCCGTCCGGCTTTTATGTTACGAAAATGCTACAGACCCGCCGAACATCGTACGATGTCCGTAAGTTAAAAGTCGTGCGACCTTACAGTAGTAGAGGTCGCACGGCTTCCACACACCTTACGATAATCGTACGATCGCGGGATTTCCTGCGATTATCGTGCGATTATCGTACGATTATCGTAAGGTGTGTGGGGACCTTTAGAGACATCATTTAAGGTAAGTGCTTTAATTAACAGGAAAAAAAATGTTTGGCTTTAATGTCACTTTAACATAAATATTCTGGCTATGCTTTGAGTTCCTTATATTCCTAAATGTCCAATAATTTTTTATTCAAGACTTGGTCTTAAAGCTGAATATTCCTAAAGTATGTTTCCAATTTTGCAGCCAAATTGGGATAACACCTACTTGATATTTGTTACATGTTTGCATTCACAGGACATAGCTTAAATTCATATTTTAAAATTGCTGCTATTATTTTTACTTGCACTTTCCTAAAAACGCCAAAACTGAAGTTTTCTTCTGCTATGCGGTGTTAAGGAGGAAGGCAAGGAGTTCATGTTTACCTGTCAATACTGTACTGGCAGATATCCTTATCAGTTGTAAACCTAGATTTGATGTAATACACATAGCAAAGATGTAATACATTTATAAAGAATTGGTGTATGTTTGGTGCCTTGCGCATATTTTCTTTTATAAGGTTGTAAAATGTTTAAAATTATTTGCTATAGATAGACAATACATTTTAATGGCTTATTTTGTTTTTGAAGGTCCTGATGTCCAGTTGTTCTCAGTGTAGAGCTTGTGATGCTTTGGTTTATGAGGAAGAGATTATGGCAGGATGGACTGCAGATGACTCCAATCTGAACACTGTATGCCCCTTTTGTAAAACCACCTTCTTGCCTTTCCTCTACATTGAATTCAAGGATCTGCGTGGCTCTGCCAGGTTTGTTCATCTTTATCTGTGGGTTGAGTTTTTAAAGAAACAAATAAAAGCAAATGTAATTTTCTCTTCCGTTCATTGAAGGACACGGAGAGATCTTGAATCTCTACCATAAGGTTATAGCACCAGCTTCTGGAGTAGAACACTAGACACAAAAACAAAAGCACAGCCTAGGGGCAGCCCCTGATGTTGGTAACATTTAAAAAAATTAAGTGAATATAAAAGTAAAAAATGATAAAGAAAGAAAAAGGTAAAATGTATAAATGTTTGAATGTGTGTTTCCTTATTTTGCCTCAGGCAGTGATGCTGAACATATTTTAAACCCCAGTGGCCAAACTAAAACACAATACCAAACCTATTTTCAGGGTTGGTACTTTGAGATAAATTGATTTTGCATTGGGCAGTTTGGGCACTCGGGTTCAAAAGCGTTAGCCATCACTGGTCTAGAGTGTTTGTTGTGATCTTTGAGGATCTTATAAAATGAATAACTTTAAATTAAAGTGGTTTGCACTTCTGCCTTAGGTTGCACTGAGGGTCCCTGGTTTGTGTCCTGGTCAGGACACTCAGTATAGTGTTTGCATGTCCTCCCTGTGCTTGCATGGGTTACCTCCTAAAGACATGCTGGCAGGTTAATTGGCTCCTGTCTAAATCGGCCCTAGTATGTGTGTATATGCATGTGATATAGGGATCTTAGACTGTGAGCTTTTTGAGGGCAGGTACTTAAGTGAATGAATAGTATGTAAAGTGCTGCGTAAATTGACAGCACTATATAAATCTGTAATGGATTAATCTATCTTATGTTGTTTTGTTTTTTTTGGTCAGTTTTTACCTCAAGCCAGGTATCTCGGGGGACAGCCTACAAAGCAGTAACCATCAATCAACAACAGAGACCGCTCAACATAAAAAAGAATCATCACCCTCCACCAGTGACATAAACTATGCAGCAGAATCCCAACCTCTACTTGCTACAGAAGAACACACAAGAAAGCCCACTGTTCAAGGGTAATAAGTCTGCTGTTTTCAGTGCATAGCCACCATTACTTGGTGACACAGTAATCTTTTTATCAGAGCATAGTACTTATTAGTTTTTGATGATTGGAAGGGAACATACCGTAGCCATTGGTTCTACAAACATGTCATTTTCCTTGTAAATAACCCCATGAAATTACCTGAACGTGGTCTGGAACTGTTCTCAGATATCGCATACAAAGTGTCATTTTTTTTTTTTTTTGGTACTCTTTGCAGTGAAGTGTTAGGCTGCATTTACATAGCTTAGGGCTTGTATGTGCATTCTTGGATTCCCGCTGCAAGAACCTACAGATTCTTGTGGTAGGAATCCCAGGCGTGTCTGCACAGATGTGAATGGTTTACCCATTCAAGTTAATAGTCTGCCAGCGCCCACATCTGTCAGTGGCAGTCCACATGTAATCATACATGGTGCAATAACATGCGTTTGGGGATAAATGATTGTTCCTAGATGCAGGAAAGATGCATCCCAACGGCATGTAATCGTACCATGTACAGCGGTACGATTCTGGCATACCCTGCATTCCTGACACAAGAATCCTGAGATTCTTGACAAAGGAATCCCGAAATGTACATACATGCCTCAAGTGAATGCAGCCTCAGTGTATGATGCAACAGATATGAGGAACCTTGGTGTGGGGATGGTGAGCTTACTTATTTTGCTCCAAATACCCATGAATACCTTGTGATTTTGTGTATTGGTCTTTTTGGGTAAAAGTCAAAAGAGGCATTTAAAATGTATACCAGTGTGCCTGCTTAATAATTGTTATAAGCTAGAGGTAAGAAGATGGTTTACAAGCACTGAACATCCATCATTTGTTTTCTTTTCTTTTTTTTGTATCCTTGTTTGTTGTTTTAAATGTTTTTTCCCCGCTTTAGTAGGACTGATCAAACACAAATTAACTAAGATATAACATTTGTTTTGAGGGTTTTTTTTGTTATAAAAAGCTTTTTTTTTTAGCCACATGATTTTATTTTTTTTTCCAGCTTTTATTACTACAAAATAATGCCCGTTATAGAAAAGGAGCCACTACAGCTTATCAAAATTATAATTATCATTCTTTTGTTGTTAAATCGGAATAGGAAAACAGTTGTGTGATTACAGTTCAGTGGGCCCCGTGTAGTCAGGAAACTGTTGCATTCACTTTAAAGAAATACTGTCTCCTTGCCCATGCAGTTGAAGGTGGCAGTGTTTCTGCAAACGTCCCCTACCTTCTTGCATTGCCACTACATCTCTCTTCACAGCTAGTGACAGTACCTGGTACTTCCGGGTATGGGTGAGCGTGTGACTTCCTTCCCTGTGACAGTTCTCGGACCTAGCAGATAGTCACTAGGCCCAGCCACTGTCACGTGGTGAAGGGACTGTCCTCACTGCTCCCCAGTGTTGGCTGAGATGGAGGAAGGAGCTGGGTAGGAAGCAGAGTCAAAGTGATTATAAAGAGTCAGGAGATCCCTTTGCAGAGACACTGTCACTTTGCTCTGCATGCTCAAGGTGACAGTGTGTCTGTAATGAATGGGACATTGTAGATTCATCCTTAGAAAATTACTTTTATTGGCAAGGTAGGAAGTGTGTGTACTTTTTAAAGAAGAAAATGTTTTTGGTTGTGACCATTTAGCACCGTTTTAATTTGAGGCATATTTCTTCCTATTCCAGTGACGTCCATGGGGCAGATGAAAAGCCTTTAGACAACAATGGTGCTTCGAAACGAGTTGCCTCTCTCACAAGAAGCCACAGTGTGGGTGGACCTCTCCAGAATATTGACCTTTCACAGAGACCTTCACATGGGGTGTCCACTGTCAGCCTACCCAACAGCCTTCAAGAAGTTGTGGTATGTTTGTCTCTGGTTATTACCAGCTTGATGAAGCAAATACTTCCATTCTGAGACTTTTTGAGGCTTGTGACTGCTGTTACTTACCAGGGATGATAGGTTTGCTGTAATAACGAGGTCATTTTAGATGAATTTTTCATTGCAGAATTTTAGTTTTGGCTGTTCACAGGCAGATCACTTACCAATATCAAGGTGGAATCTGCATCTCATTGTCATTTCTTCTAATTGTGGGTTCCTTTAGTATGTGTGGTTAAAATGTTTTTTGCTTTTCTGCACGAAAATGGAACACACTGGTTAATCTTTGTGGTCAATCACAGCTTTAAAGGTTATACTGAGAACACTTATGGGGATGCCATTGCTGATAAATGTTGATTGTAGATCAGATGCTGAAACGATTGGATATCCTGCCCAGGCTACAGTGAAAGTAGTTTACTTTTTAAACTGCACCCTAGTAAAGCATTGCCTTGATCTGCCATAATTGTAGTTGGGAGGTTTTACAAGATCTCTATCCTCAACATGCAAAACTAGTACATGTCGTCATTTCCTCTGTATTTGATGATTTGATTGACTGTATCTTGTCTTGGTTTTCAGGATCCTTTAGAGAAGAGGCATAATCCTCCACCTGTTTCTGTTCCTTATCTAAGTCCACTTGTGCTTCGCAAGGAGCTGGAGTCTTTGCTGGAAAATGATGGAGACCAAGTCATCCACACATCCACTTTCATCAATCAGCATCCCATTATCTTCTGGAATTTGGTGTGGTATTTTAGGCGTTTAGACTTGCCGAGCAATCTACCAGGGCTAATCCTGACATCAGAGCATTGCAATGGGGGAGTCCAGGTAAAGTATGCCATGCTTAAATTGCACTAGAGCCAAGCATGCTATTTAGAACACATTTAGAAACACCTATCACAGAAATGAGAGTAGAACCGCACATTCATGAGTGACATCACAACAGCAGCTCACTCGTAATGCTCCTCTTCCCTTCATAGAAACCCTTGCATTTTTTGTATTGCTAGTTGGATGCATGTTGCGGGAATCAGTTACCTGGGCTATGGGAAGAAAACATCTAAGATGGCACTGGCATCAGTGGTAGCAGAGGAGAAAAAAGCATAAAAAGAAAATATGCCTAATAATATCCATGTATATCGTATTTACTTTTATATTTATGTTAATGAGGTTCTGACTTTTTGTTCTAGCAACCCTTTGCAGGGTTTACTTCCACTTTAAGAAACAGAGCCGCTGTCAGTTACAGCTGTCATTGTATTTATTTCTATGTGCACTCCATTTTTGCCTAAAAGAAATAGAAAGAGTACACAGTAAAGGAATGTTTTTAAAAAATATAATGTTTTGTCTCGGGTCAGTGTCACACTAGCTAGCAAAACCAGAACCAGAACCAGGATGGCAACCCCAGAGCTTGCACCTTTTAAAAATAAGTCGCCTTAAAGTGCTGCATGCTGAGGAAACTGAACTGCATATTGGTCTGAGATGCGTCATATTATAATTTGGTATTCAGAACTGAGAAATGTGTTTAATATATTTTCTGTTATTCACAGGTCCCCCAGTCCTCCTTGTCACAAGACAGCAAGTTGGTTTACATCCAGTTGTTATGGGACAATGTCAACCTACACCAGGATCCTGGGGAGGCTCTCTATATGAAATGGCGGAATCTGGGTAATATTTAATTCCCATCAGCTAGGGCCAAGAAAATAATTGGTTTCTGATGTTAGTAGAGGATAGCAGCTTTCCACACCAAAAGTATGGGTTGAAATGTCAGGGTTGCTGTGGGGGAACTAAGCTCTAAAGCTTTGTTGGAGCTGCTGATGATTTCTTTTGATATGAGTTAAAGTGACACTAAACTCAGGAGGTAAATCTTAAAAGTGCATTCAAGTATCTTAACTAGTAACAAAAATGTATCTTATTTGTGTATCACTCGGCTGTAGATCCTCAAATCATCTCTGAATGGTGCTGACACTGTCCTTCCTTCTGTAAAATGACTACTTTTCTTCCCCATGATCCCTGTGTGTGTTGTAAAGTAGTCACGGCTCAAAGGTCACTCCTGTGATGGACTACAATCTCAATAAAAATGAATAAACTAAACATGAGATTGTAGTCCATAATGGCAGTGGACTTGGAGAGGTGGCTACTTTACAACACACAGGGACCATGGGGAACAGTGTCAGCAGAAATTCAGAGATGATTTGAGGATCTACAGCTGAGTGATACACAAATAAGGTCCAGCATTGTTAATAGTTAAGGTACTTGAATGCATTTTTAAGATTTAACTCCTGAGTTTAGTGTCACTTTAAGAAACTTTCAGAAGATGGTTAAGGCAGCATTATACGTATTTTATTTGCTTTTAATTGATATGTGGTAGGGCTTGACCATTGCAAAGTGATAATGTGACAAATGTTACTAGCTCTGCAAGGTCACTGTATAAAGAATACTATTTAGCTCACAAGTGTTTTGTGAAAATGTGTGGATCGGTGACATTATTCTTGCCATCATATTGTTGCAGTTTCGGCAAAAGTTTTTTTAATACCATTAATCATTGCCAGCTTAAGAATTAGGGCTGCTCAAAAACAATGAAAGAGTTTCATTTAATGGATAGAAATAAGATATTAAATTATATATATATTTAAATATTTATTTTGGTTGACTGGCTGTAAGCAGCCGTTATAAGTGGGACAGCCTACAGCTAAGGTATATCACTGTAATATTTCTTAATGGGGACATAGGCATCAGTTGTCTCAGCTGCAACAATGAACAATGAATGTGCTTTGTAAGTATTAAATAAAATGTTGTAAAGGCCTAGTTATTATTTCCAGGAGTTCTCAGTTTAACATCAAGAACCTCAACATCTGTCACAAATAAAACAAAAACCAGAAGCTCTGGTGCATTACCCTATGCAGAGTAAATAGAGACAAAAGCTTGCAAATTCTAGATATAAGCTTGCTAACTACTTGCTTCCTCTAATACATATGATATTTAACCCAATAGAAAATTCTAACTAGCCTAGGTGTTTGGCATTTGATTTTTCGAATGTATATTTGACCCAAAATACATCTATATATATTTATTTACTAGAATCCATTAAGAAGACTGCAGCTCCTATACCAAAGGAACTTCATGATATCAATAATTTATTGGAGAGCATTACGCTCAGTATACAGCACAATGATGTTTTGAGGCCTATCAACCTTATCTTGCAGAAGTGTGGCTCAGGTGGCAAACGGCAAAGGTAAGCCTTGTTGGAATTTCCAATGCTCTGTATGGTTATTCATACTTGTAGAATGAGCTATTAGGTTCTAATTCCTACTACATACATATTTATTTTTCTCTAATTACACAGAAGCATTTACAGAGAAATACTATACCTGTCTCTGGTTTCCCTTGGCAGAGAAAATATTGATATTGGTAAGTAGACATATATTTTTAATAGCTAACATAACAAAGCTTTCAGTTGACATCTTTATTGCAATTTCATGATCAGTGGCCTTTCAAGGAGAAGTGTGGGGACAATAAAACATACTCTTACGACTGCTTAGAGCTGGCGTTAGGCACAGCAGCTGTCACACACTGGCTCTATACTGAGAGCTGAGCAATTATGTAACTACTGATCACTCAGCTCTCGATCTCTTCTCCCCGTGGAGAGCAATGACTGCTAAGCTCACTGCGGGGATTCCCCCCTCCCCTCTCTGTTCCTCCAGTGCTCATTAGGACAGACAGAGTAGGGGGCGGCACAGCTGGTTCTGGCTCTGGAGAGGCAGAGCCAACTCTGAATCAGGCAGCCAGGGTGGATCTCAACAGTCTTGTCAAAATCCTTCTAGCCTGTGGGTCAGCTCTGTGCTGTCAGTTAATAGCCCACTATCTGCTTACTTTGTACTCCTGTGACCCAAACAAGAAGTAAAGCTGAAAAGTAGGTTTGGCTTTACTTCTCTTTTAAAAAATAACTAGAGTCAGTATTCATTTGTTACAAGTCATTTTTTCCTCCATTATTGACACGAAGAGAGAGATCTTGTGTCGGTTACCAGCTACCTGCTCCATGACCCATAGCGGTCATGACAGCTACATGATGGTGAATATTCACAGACACATCACCTGATCACTGAAAGTTATGCTGGGTAAATATTGATGCCAGAAGAAACCCCAAAAAAACACTTAGATTGTCTTTAGATGGCTGTGTATAGTCCATCCCAGCTTCACCTACTTCACAAGTAAAGAAGAGCTTCCTAAATGGCTCATTGAGCCCAGTGGAGCAGTACACCTGCCATCTTCATGGACTAAATAGTAGTGTAGGTTCTCCAGTGCTTACACCGAGACTGCCACCCCATAGTTCATTGAACCCTTGAAGCACCTGCACAGACATTGATTTCAAGGGATGGTTCCTTGCTAAAGTCAGTAGTGCTAACATACAGTTTTTACAGGGGTAAAGGTTATAAGCTGCAAGGAGGGGAGATCTATGGAGGAACTTTGTATTTTCTTGTTGCTAGGGCTAGATGTTTGGATGTTTATGTTAAGCTAAAGCCTTTGTTGACAGAAATCAATGCTCCCTAAAAGCTCAGCTCATTTGCTCTTGTCTTGTCATTTTAGAGGCATTCGACAATGAATACAGACTTGCTTATGAAAAAATTCCATCTGATCTTCTCAAAAAAATGCAGAAGATTGATGTGCCTCCAAGCAAAAACATAGAGTTCTGTCGAACTGTCTTTGGGTCCCCTTTGATTTGAAGGACATCTTTTGAAGAATTCTTGTGTTTCATTCCTTGTTATGTTTTCAGCACAAATGTAAAGGACAGAATGCCTCCACTTCTGCTCAATCTCCCAGCAGCATGGACCCAGGTGGAATGGTTCATTTCCTAAACATAACATGGGTTCATCTGCTGCACAAGGCAATTATAAGCAACTGCTTCTTCTCTTTAATGTGCATGGAAATGAGTGGAAGGTTGAAACATGAATGATGCAAGTATAATGAGTGTTCCATCACACTGCCACCTTCACCCAATTTTGGAGGGAAAAATGAATTCTGAATTGATGATATACAGCACTTTAAATTTACATGCATTTTCTGACTTAACATTTAAATTATTTCATTTATTTTTCATTTACAATATACATTTGACAGTTTTGCCATCCTGGTGTATTACCTAGTAATGCTTTGCAATGTTCTTGAACAGTGGAGCTTGGTCCGCCTTTGACAATCCTCCATCCAGAAAGTTACCTGTATCCATGACACACTTATGGGCCAGGCCACCTACGTGCAAGAGTGTCCTATATGTCTGCAACAACTGCTTCTTTTCAACCAGTTTTTGTACATTAAATTCTGGGTTTTGATGAAATAACCACTTTCAATTATTTTAGGGATATTTGTCTTATTGCATAGCGCCTTATGGGTGTTGTGGCCCAATACCAGGCTACACACGTCCAGACAAAAAGTGGCCATGGAGGTTTTTTTTTTAGAGATAATTGTCTTATTGCATAGCGCCTTATGGGTGTTGTTGCCCAGTCCCAGGCTACACAGGTCCAGACAAATAATGACCATGGAGTTTTTTTAGAGAGATGATTGTCCTTTTGCATAGCGCCTTTATGGGTGTTGTTGCATAGCGCCTTTATGGGTGTTGTTGCATAGCGCCTTTATGGGTGTTGTTGCCCTGTCCCAGGCTACACCGGTCCAGACAAATAATGCCCATGGAGTTTTTTTTAGAGATAATTGTCTTATTGCATAGTGCCTTATGGGTGTTGTTGCCCAATATGGGTGTTGTTGCATAGCGCCTTTATGGGTGTTGTTGCCCTGTCCCAGGCTACACCGGTCCAGACAAATAATGCCCATGGAGTTTTTTTTAGAGATAATTGTCTTATTGCATAGTGCCTTATGGGTGTTGTTGCCCAATACCAGGCTGCACACTTCCAGACTAATAATAGCCATGGAATTCTTTTAAGTCAGTACAGTAGACTTTGTATATTTTACTGCCACTGGGCATGTAGCAAGTCTTAAGGCTTAGACTGCAGCAGTTCTTTTAAAATCAGAAACAGCCAGTCATAATACTAGATTTGTGGTGTACTCAAGTCATTTCATGTTATTGAATGTCTAATCTGTAAAATTGGGATCGCCCTCCTGTAATGAGCACAGAGGGTATATTTTTAGCCTTTACTTCACATGATGCACTTAGGTGCCTTATAGGAAAGCTCTTCTGATAGAAACTCTGTCAGCATTGCTACTCATTGTTCTGCAAATGGTAGTTGTCTGACTGTCATGCTGGGCCCTGGTCTTCAATACTTTGTGTCACAGCCTTGGAACAAACAGATAAGGAGTTCTGACTTTTTTCTAATCAGTGAGTCAGAAAGTACTACAGAGTATGGGTTAGCATAATAGCCAGGCAACATGGAGCTACAAAAGGCGGTTGGGAATGTTAGCCCACTGATGTTTCTCTCAGGAGTTTATTTGAAAAGAAAAGCTAATCCCAATAAAGACCAAGGGCTTCATTTATAAAATGTCTCCCTTGGCATATTATTATTATAATACAGGATTTTTACAGTTTGCGCAGCGCTTTACAATATGAGTAAGACATTATAATCACAATACAATTCAAGACAAAATGGTAAGGAGGGCCCTGCCCGTGAGGGCTTACGATCTAAATATAGCAAGGTGGATGCTATTTGCCCGGCTATACACCAGGCAGCCCTAAAACCTATTTGCTACACTTACAGCCAAATGTGATTTTTTTTTTTTGTATGTATGTATGTATATATGCGTTTCCTCATCTTAAACTCTTCCTTAATATTGAATACAGCGCACTGCATTAATAGCACTGTGTGATTTTTGATGGTATCACCGGCAGTTCTATTTAGAAGTAGACCTGTCATGATAGAAATGTAGGTACTGACATTGCTGACTTTCTTAGTTGTTGGATCCCTGGCTTGGGCTACTGACCCAGAACAAACAGGCAGCCAGTGAAGTCATTATTACTAGACAGCATGCTTGTTCAGAGACATTGGGTTATGCCATAGGATGCGCATAGCACCCAGAGATTTAGCAGCATCTATAAACAGTCAACACTCTTTAAGGCTGCCTTAGGCTTTGTCAAATATACACTACGTAATGGGGTTAATATAGCAACATGCTGCAAAGAGTGGTGTGTGAGGTAATACATAACAATGAGAGATCAGCTTACTTTAGTTTGACTAGACTTAAAATGCTGAATGTGATATCTAGCTGCTGGTTTACAGCACATTATTGCTATTTGCAGTCATGTTTCTTTGGACACTACAGAAGATCAGGGTATATATATCGGGTTAGGCAAGCTCTGGCCCTCCAGCTGTGGTGAAACTACACATTCCATTATGCATTCACCTCTGGGAGTCATGCCTGTGGCTGTCAGAGTCCTGCAATGCCTAATGGGATTCATAGTTGCACCACACCTGGAGGGCCGGAGTCTGCCTTCCCCTGGTATATACCTTTCTGACTACCAAGTAGTAAAGCCTTCACTGGTTTCATGCAGCATGTAATAGAATTTTGAAATGCTGCATTTGTTTACCTGACAATCTATGTATAAAGCTTGACCATTGATGGACAGAATGTTCTGGAGGTCGAGTTATTAGTCAGTGTAGTAGATGAAAATTGTGCATACTCGGCATTATAGGAAAATATATCCAGTTTATTTATCAGGATATATAGTTCATTATCTTTAAACACTTTTGCTTTTGCAGTAGTATTTCTGCCATGTATACACGTTTCGTTATATTGTAGTTCGTGACAATATCACTTTTGGCTTTGAGTGGCGGCATTGCTGAGCAAGGTGACAGCTTCCATTTTGGTCTACACTCATCTTTTCTATCCTCTTCCTGATCCCAAAAGGCATTTTGTTTTTAAGTTGCAGCATGTGATTTTTTTTTTTGTATACATTTCCTTAGGTATGTGTGAACTGAATACAGAAAAGGTGTCGAATTTGTGCCTCCGTTTTAAAGAAAGGAAATGTGTTCATATTGTAAGCGCTAGGACATGGACGTACAGTAATCCGTAGTAGCCAATCAGAAATCATTTCTTTTGCTCTGAAAGGACTAGGTATACCCATGGAAGCCGATTTCTGATTGCTGTGGAATACTGCATGTTTCTATTTTTTAATCTGTTATTAAATAGTGTCTCGTTTCTATTTCATTTGCTAAACTATATCACGTTCCCGAGAGAGCGCCTTATTTCGCAGAGAAACATACATTGTAGCAGTCAGTCTCTCTAGTTTATGCCTTATTCACATGTTGCCTTTATCAAGAGCTGTCAATTTTCTGGTTCTCAATTAATTCTTAAAAAGAGATCAGACTGGAGTGTGACAGTAAACGTAATAAAAAGCTGGCCAAGCTTACAATGTGTTGTGTAAACGATATTTGTTATACAAAAATCTATGCAGATGAAAAGATACCACAAGCTCGTGTCAAAGAGATCAGTAGATCTGAAGTTGTATACCAAATCTTGATCTGAGCTTAATTCACCCCCAACCTCCTGGATCTCTCCATTTGATTCTTTAATGTGATGGGCCGCCTCACTGACCGATGCAGAGTTCTGCAAGGGGGCAGAACCATGCTCCAATGTTACAGAAAACACTAAGCTTTGCCTATAATTGTAGTTGCCAATCTCCTGATCATTTTGCTATGCAGTGTTTAGTGAAGGTAGACGCAGATGAATGATTTTTCATCATTTGCTAAAGTTGGACTAGCTCAGCTTTGTGACCCATTTACATTACATATACAATATTGCACATCCGGTCCACTTCTACAAAACTGTGTGGTACTGATTTCTGAGCTCCTATGCGCTAGAATGTATTTTATAAGAAGTGACCGGAAAATACATTTCCATGTCAATTAAATGTCCACTGCTTTCCTTATACGCCGTTCAACTGTGTTGTATTACCGTCCAAAGAAATGTGGAGGTTATAATACATTGTTTATGTTGTCCTTTTGCCTCCTTGTACTGACAAATAGCAAAGATGACCATGACGGTAAGGGACCTTTGTAAAACTAGAGCAGACCAAAAACTGTGCAATTTCTTCTCTTTTCTAAATAAAACAAAAAAAGTTACTCCTCTTCTTTGTTTATTAGTCATTCTCTAAAAACATATTAAAAGTGCCACATGTTACATTATAAAATAGTGTGCACGTTATATTGATGATGTACTTTAGGCGAGTACAGCTCAGAGGTTGCCAGTTTAGCCTCTGCTCATTTACAAATATCCCCACTGATTGGGTGAACATGCAGTAGTATCTTCCAAGCCAGTCCATGGGTGCCATTATCAATACTCAGATTCTCTGGATTATAGGTTAAATCATTGTCTAATCAAGCCTCCAACCACCTAGCTGTTCCTACAACTGTATTGCATTAAGATCATAAAGGTTTAATCTGCCCAAAGGGGGAAGATACGTTCAGGCTAGCTATGCCTGGTCATCCCTCTCCAAGTTTCTTGAGTACAAGCGGCTAAAGAGAGCCCAGATTGCAAATATTCAGTGCAGTGCAAAGTGTGTATTTGTCTCCATAAATGCTTTCCAAACGGACAGCTGGAGGTACATTAGGTTACAAATTACAATCACATGGTTGTAAAAAAAGGGGCACTTGGTTGAGTTTTCAACCCCAGCCAAGCACCCATTTTAATGCTGTAGTGCAGCACAATTTGAGGATATAGTAAGACAGTACTTTCAATCCAGGTTCAGTTTAAAGCCCATTTCAGACAAGATACAGTATGGAAGCTTTAGGAATGTATTGCCATTGGGGAGATTATCCTCACTTGGATAGAGGGAGCTGCAGATGACAATAAAACCCTCCCAGTTTTCTACACTTTCTCTGTTCTAAACAGAAAATTTTCATTGCCTTTTTAGACATTTGCCATCACTCCGAGTCCTTGGTACAAGTGACCGAGGACGGTAAATTAGTGGAAATCTAAAAGATGTTAAAAAATGTACTTAACCCTTCCCTGTTATATCTAAAACAACAAAAGTTGTGTCTTGAGTTGGCATTTCAACTGCTGTTATCTAGAAAAATCTGACCTGTTAATGGTTCCTGAGGCCTAGAGTTAGGAAAGACTGCTTTAGGGTAATTCTCACATCCTGCACATTAAACATCTGAACTGTTCATTGATGAGATGTTATCAAATCTAGTGTATTTTGTTCATGTAATCTATGGAACTGTTTTTAACCTATAATGCCTTGTAAACCACAAACCTTTCCTCTTCTGTGCCTGATGATGAGCTATTTTCTCAATTCCAGTTGTTTTGTAATACAGTGACATCATGACCGAAACAAAAAGGGATTCCTGATTTCTTTTTCTATTCATTAAATGTGGGCCCATGGGTGAGGGGCTGTACATAGGGTATGGGAGCAGATAATCAGAAACCATGTAATCAGTGTAATGTCCGCAAATTTAAAAGTTAACAATTCAGGAAACTCAAATTATTTTACATGTTTTTTTTAAACCTGTAAATATTTTGCCCATTTGATATGTGTAAATGTGGTGTGCATCACACAGCATGCCTTAATGTATACTCGGATGTGTTTTAGATTGTGGGAATGTCTTTGTACATTGGAGAGAAAACTCTTCTACATTTCTGAGCTTAACTTTCCTCGTCAGAATTTTGTATAGAGATAAAAAAAAATATATAGAAGTGAAACGAAAATTGTGTTCTTTTGAAAAATAAAATGAAAATGTGTAACATTTGGTAAAGGTGTGTTCTGACTTCACTTGATATGAAAGTCCAGAATGTGTCCCGACGCACTCCTTACCGGAAAACCTCTTGAGAAATGGGGGCTGTAATGACTGCGGATGGCACCGCACAAATCAAGAGAAACAAGATATCGCCAGCACACCACAGGCATGTGTCTCAGCGAAAATGTATTGATGTATATTGTCACAGCAAAACCAACGTTTCAGGGCCACCTTATCGGGCTCATATTAAGCCGCAGGGCCACCTTATCGGGCTCATATTAAGCCGCAGGGCCACCTTATCGGGCTCATATTAAGCCGCAGGGCCACCTTATCGGGCTCATATTAAGCCGCAGGGCCACCTTATCGGGCTCATATTAAGCCGCAGGGCCACCTTATCGGGCTTATACCAAGCTGTGTTGCTTTTGCTATGCGTCATTGGATGTAGAAAAGGTCACTCGCACTCCAGATTAGTTTTCAGTCAATGTTTATTGACCTCATCGTGTCGCAATGTCAAGCGACATTTTGGAACCACGCAGTTCTGTCTTCAGGCAAACAAGTGCAGCAATATATACATGACTAATGAAAACTAATCAACCAATCATCAGCAAAGTGCACTCCCCCAGGTTTATTGGTTTTCACTACTCATGTATATATTGCTGCACTTGTTTGCCTGAAGATGGAACTGCGTGGTTCCGAAACGTCGCTTGACATTGTGACACAATTAATGGCTTGGGGTGGTTATCTCCTACCAGCTTGAGCTATTAGGGTGGCTCTAGGTCTACACCATGCAAGCAGGATACCAAATGTCATTCCAAAATTAGATATGTATCAGTGATGTCCAGCCGGGATCTAATGTGTTTGCCTTCTTGCCTCTTGAATGTGATCATGGTTGCAAGTAACAGCCTGCAAGTAGATGGTGTATGTGACCGTATGCACGCTTCATTCTGCATGGCTACCCTAAACAGTGAAAAACTAGATTCCACTAGGTCACCTTGGATTTAATGCTAAACTCTAGGCAAATATAAAATACTAATTACTGCAGCTCTGTATTCATAAATAAACTCCAGAAACTGCTTCATGGACATCAGCACTCGCATTGCTCTTGGAGAAAGCCATTTAAATCCTCCTTCTGACTTTAGTAGAGAAGGTGAAGCTGCAACACGCCATATATCAAGACTTCCTTCTTGGAAGTTGCACATTTTCCTCCTAGCTCTGACTTGTGTTGCTGTTAAATTTATTCCAATGTAATTTAACATGGCTCTCAATGTCCAGGGTTCATATACATTCTAAAAGCTGCTACGTGGATGAAACATGGCCCACGCCAAAACTCAATTCAAAGCAAAAATTGGACACAATACAGGCACAATGTTCATATGTGAGATCTGGCACCACCATGTCACTGGCTGCAATATTGAGTAGACAGTTCACTCCAGCTGATGAAAAACAAAAATGGTGGTACAGCATGAGATCTGCAGCAGGAAAGGACAATGCCAGATCAATGGCCTTTTAATGGAGTACATTACAGTTCTGAATGTTTATTCTAGGTGCAGTGTTTAAAATCCAACTCATGCCAAACTTTTTTTTTTTGCTGCTGCAGTAGTAGTAGTACATGTCCCCACTGCAGAGATTTCCAATCACTTACTAACCTGACAAGAAGGGAAATCTGCAAGGGCCAAAGCATCATACCAGCACATTCCTGCTCTCCCTGCTGGCTGGAGTCTGGCTCCAAGTACCTACATTTGTTAGGATATTATCTCTTGTAAAGCATACTGACCAGGAGAGAGGACAGCTCTGAGCCAATCTTGCATGTACATATGCTAATAGAGCACAAAAATGACCTTTTCAGCATTCTACACTTTTGCTGACCAATTACAAGCTAAAGAGGAGGTAAGTCCTTTTATTTTAATGTGACGCAAGGAAAGCAATGCGTATGCTTACAAAACAAAAGTTGTGATCATATAGTCCTTTGCGCTTGTGCGATCATTTAGGACAAGTGTAGTTATGTTCTTTTCTTGAAATGAGCTCCTGTCCAGAAGCCATACACTGAGCGACTGCTTGAAGCCCTAAGTGCAGCTGTATTTAAGGTCTGTTCAACAATCATTCTGCTTTGATTGCATGTAACCCTTCTACATCCATCCTTGCAGAGAAAATCTACCGTGTGATATTTTAAGGCTGTTCGAAACACTTTCATCCATCTGTGATCAAATGACCCTGTTTTGTCTTTTGCTTGGAGGCTAATTTTCCCAAATTATGTTCACCAATGAGAGCTAAAAATAGATACTACGGCTAATATGATCACAGTAAATGACATACTCACCTAGTGAACTGAACCATTTGATCAATAAACCTGTTCATACCCAATCTCCCCCCCCCATTATATATATATATTTTAGTTAGGCTTGTTACATATGCTTCCGTTCGTAGCAGTGTGTATAAAGCATTTAGAAAACATTCAAGATTATAAAGCAACTTTCCACTCCAATTTGAACATGGTAAACAGATCTTAACAGGAATGCAGGTTGTCACTTTAACCTCTTGCCGTCCGCCCGTAGTAAAAAAACGGACGGCACTGCAGCATCTGATCCTCAAAGTTATTGAATTCTGGTACCAAGCTTGTTGAAAGTGACTCCAGCAGGTCCCATTTAGATCAGTGTTTAACTTTCTCAAACTGCAGCTGTTTTATAAACTCCAACAAGGTTACTCCAAGTTTTGTAAAGGCTTGCTATACTCCGTACTCTTATGCCAACTAAAGCCCATGTACACACAAGACCCAAAAGCAACTAGAAAAAGGAGCCACAACACAGCTACATTTTTGTTGTAAAAATGTACAAGAGCAGTCAAAGCCCATTGCCACCTACACAGGTGTATATTGAAAAAATAAAAAACCATGCCAGCAATGTACAGAGTGCACATGAAGCAGGCATCTGCAGTTGCTGTACATAGAGACTTACTTTGTTTGGCCTCCTCATGGCTCAATTTGAAATGGCCACCTCTGTACTCTGCAAGCAGTCTGTGTAAGTCAACTCTGAGCTCTCTCCCTACATTCATTAGTATTCTTAGTGACCACCATGCCCCCCCCCAGACAGTATATTGTGACTTGGTAACCAGGAACCTGGTTAAAATTACTCACAGGGAGGGGCTCAGCTGCTTAACAGTCCCAGTGTCAAAACGAGTTTCCTGTGAAAGGAATTGTAATTTGTAGGATTTAGGCCTACTAAAGAGTCCATTAAGACAAAGAAGAAAGCCTGCAATGCGAGTCATGAAAATGTGCTCATGTATACATCACTGCACCTCTCCCATTACAACAAATGCTATTCACCTACAAAAAGTTGAAAACAAGCTTTAAAAAAGGTAACCGTATTATAAGCTTTGACTTTTCCTGAACATTCTATGTAGTTACCTAAATAATATATTTTATCATTTAAACAGGATAGGAGGCATCCTCAGGCTTCCCTACCTGCCATCTCCAAAATCACCACAAGACTGTGCTGTAGGGAAAATATCTCCACTTGCAGCAAAGCAGACTATTTTTCTATTAATTCCCAGCAACCTCCAGCCCAAGAAGGAAACATGGGCACTCAGACTCAGACTCTTGAAATCAAGAAGAGAATCTAGTGCCAGCCAGAGCATGTTTGGAGGAAAGAAATGCCCAAATCCCACTGTATGTGTGCTTCATGTATTGATTGTATGTTTCCAGGTTCTTTTCTCACCCACCCTGTTTTGTTAATAAAGCTTCAAGATTTCATCCAGTCTGGCTTATTGCTGAATAAGAGGGTTTAGCTGCATGTCACGCTATACACAGGCCACAGGGTAACATGCAGCGGGGACAGAACAATCCCAATTTATCTTAAATTACACCCCATTATGTTACCAAGCAAGTTTCTTAATACCACCACGTTATATAAACCAAATTTGCATTTACCATCTGTTTCCAGGCAACCAGATAAGTCAATAGTATATGCAGAGATTTAGGAGACACAAATGGCTTTTAAAAGAACTGCACGAGTTGGTCATTTACAACAAAATTTATTTAAGCCATGAGGCTTTACTTCTGGCTGGATTCAGATTTAGATGTGGAGGCTCTCAGTGATGAAAGTCTACGCCTCTTCGCAATCTGCTCCTGGCGCTTCTCCTTGGCTTCCTGAATGGAGCAGAAAAAAAAAATAGTCAATAAAAAGGTATATCACATAAAGCATTCCAGCTTAAAATGTGACCTGCTAGAAAACCCAACTAGCAGCCCAGAACACCAAGCTAAACATGGGACAAAATGCAGTTGAAGACAAGTGAATTGGTTTTAATCATTTAACCCTTTTACTGCCAAGGCCTTTCTTGCACACATTATAATCCACATTTTAGACCTGAAAATTACCTAAAACCCGCCAAAATTTTCTGAAAGCGTAACTCCAAACAAGTGTAGCACGACCGCTGTTTTTGTACATAGGCTCACACGACATGTGTTAATGGTAATAAGAGTGAGCTCGCAGGGGACATGTAAAAAATGAATACTTTTTGTTCTACTTTACTTAACTATCGCATGGGGGGGGGGGGGGGGGGGCGGCTTAAAACCCCCCTATTCGATACCATTCCAGTGGTGACAGGTTCTCTTTAAAGGTGAAATCAGGGGTCAATTAGACACCATTCCACTGCAAATAAGCTATAGTCTGTCTATAGTCCTGTCTTTGGCAATGAAAAGGGTTAGAGGCAAAAGCATGAGCTGTTTTGAAAATGATATGGGTGACTGAACTACATATGACCCAACTGAAACCCATTTGGTACACTTGATGAAAACATTTAATAGGAACTGGATCATTGAACGCACCTTTGTTCTCTTTGCAAGGAGCTTGGCATACTCCGATGCTTCCTCCTTGTTCTTCTGAGTCCGCTGCTTCTTCAGGGCGATACGTCTGCGCTTGTGTTGAAGAACTCTAGGTGTTACAAGACGCTGGATCTTGGGGGCCTTAGTCCTGGGCTTCTTCCCTGCAGACAAAGAACAATCAACATACTCTTAAAGCAAATAAAGTAATTGGTTCAGTGAAAACAGGGTTTTGTGATTCTGGTAATATTTTAAAGAGAAGTAGGTATCTTTAGGTCATACAATGATGCCATACTGGTGTATCCAGAGAGCAGTAAATTTATATCAGAAGTAAACAAATCAATTAGCATACAGTCTGTCCAATCCGAGAGTCAGCAGGATATTTTTAGGAGCTAGCTCAATTAAAGTGGACCTTTACACTCAAAAACCTAATTCTACCAATGCATCCCTCTATGTATGATGATTAATAATAGACATGTCAGATGTAACATACTTTCAAAGCAGGAAGTGAATGCTCTGCAAGTGAGGGCAAAATGACTTCAGTTTGCCAAAGCAATGCACACTGGGATTGCTTTGTCATCAGCAGAGCACTGCTGGGAAATCTCATCTGTAATCTCACTAGATCTCAGGGAAAGGCATTTTCCTCCCTTGAGATGATGTGCGTGGTCACACGTGCTAGGAATCCAGGAAGTAAAAGGAGAGCTAGTAATCCACCCTTAGTTAGCATGGCCACTATCAGAAGACTGGGGAAGAAAAGAGAAATAAGATATACAAAGCCGGCAATTATCTAGAAGAATGTGTCTGTAGATTGTCATTACTAAACATTTCTAAAGGTGTGTTTGTTGGTATTTTAAAGATAGGGGTAAAGGTCCTCTTTAAGCATTGGTGACCTGGCTCCTGGATTTATTCGCAGGCCTCTTGCGGTGCTGGTGTTCCAACAAGTACACATTTTACAGGTTGTATACACGGGCATGCAGAACAAAATCGAAGAGGATCATTTAAGACACGAGGAAAGGAAAATGGTTGTTGCCAACGGTGATGAGATTTCTTGTTTTATATCTTTCCATGTAAGAGGACAGTTTAGTCACTATGGGCAACTCCTATAGTTCCTAGCTCCTTGACAGTGCAATCTTTTAAGTGGGAAGAAAAAGCATTTGAAGGATTACACTTCTCTTCCTGCCAATAATCAGCAAATTTAGCATGATTGGCAACTCATGCTCCATGGGTTTAAAGCTCACACTTTACAGGGACAACTGTATAGTGCAGATGAGAAATCTGACAGGAGAGCAACTTTAAAAGCTATACTTCTGGATAAGCAATCCTGGTCTTAATACAAGAGTCCTGTGTACTCTTAGTTGAATCTTAGCATGCTTTGGATTTGCACTAACCTAGTGAAACTACCTCTGTGTAGGAGCTTCCTGTAATACAGACCAGTCACTGTTACTCTCTCCTTGTGCAGTGTGACTGGTCTAGTCTCCGACCCCCACTGCAGTTTGCTGAAAGCAGTCTGTAGTGGGCGGAGCCTGCTGGGTCCCTCACAGAGTTCAGCACTGCACAGGCTTTTGTTCAGCACAGCGATGAGGTCACTGCTAATATTATACAGAATTTATATAGCGCCAACAATTTGTGCAGTGCTTGACAAAATGGAGACAGTACAGTTTAGGGCTGCAACAACTAATCGACATAATCGATTATAATCGATTATTGAAAAAGTTGTCAACTTTTTCAATAATCGATTAATCGGCTTCCGATCAGCTGGCCCTGTTCACAGCTCCACAATACAATACAAATTCAGTACAAGAGGGTGAGGTGCACCCTACTCGCAAAAAAACAACAACTTACATTGTAACATTAGGGGAAACACATTTATATCCCTAAATTGAGGAACTATTGAGGAATATATTTTCATGGATATTTTTGTGACCAGAGTTTAGCTTTAGGCTAGGTTCACATCTGCACTACACCCGGGACACGCGGTCCTGCACAATGCAGGCAACCATTGCTGTGCGACCCCATTAATTTCAATGGGGTGACATCCGTGCGGCAATCGCAGAAAAAAGGCTGTTCGGAAGCACGGGCGGAACACCCACCCGGCACGACTGGGGTGCCATTAGAAAATAATGGCATCCACAGCACAATTGGTTCACACCTTGGCGACTCCTGACTGCGCAGCAATCCGTGTGGAATCGTGCATGATTGCCGTGAGGTGTCGTCTAGGCGTGAACCTAGCCTTAAAGTTCCAAATTCAGGGATACACCGTACACTCCTCTCCCTCTGATCTGCACTTTACAAGTTCTTACTCAAAGACATCCACAGACCTGACAGGGTGACTGGACCAAGCACACTCCCCTCCCTCTGATCTGCACTTTAAGAATTCTTCCCCATGGGTGCCCAACAGACCGGACAGTGTAAATGTACCAAACAGACCAGAATAGGCGATTTATCTTGCAGACGGTGAAAAAGGACCCTCATTTAAAAGCCTATTTCAGGAAATACAGTTTACCAAAATAAGTGCGACTGGCAACTTGTTGTGGCATTCCCACAATCTTCACCTAGCTCACCACAAATTACAGAAGGTAGCTTAATGCATTTCTGGGCTCTACCCCACTCCTAATAACCATATCCATCTAGGAGTCTGCAAACTTATAGAAAATACCCATACTTTGTCAATGCACTTAAGGATATAAGAACTAGTAGCATCACATATTACATATGAATAATGCATCAAAACATGGTTTCATTAGACTGTAGGGGAATAATGCTGTAAAGGTTACCCATACTCTTTATATAAGCCTCCCTTACCCAAAATACACAGCAAGAACAGTGCTCAGATCAGCAGGGGACCAAATCTAAAACTTGTTGGGTGACTAACCCTAGAGCAAGCAGACAAGCCATGTACATGTAGCTATTCTCCATATAACGGTAGTATCACTGAGAGGCCATCCCCAGGTAACACAAATTAGATACTTTAGGAGCCTAATTCAATTATTATGAGACAATCGAATACTGAATCATGTCACTGTAGGAGTTTTTAAAAACGGTTTGCATTTCTCATCGTTGCTAAATGTAATGTGTATACTTTAACATTTCTCAATAGTTCACATGTATCAAAAAACCCATCAAAATACAAGCTTTGTATAATATTCTCACACTCAGATCCCAGGGGGAGTTTTTGCACATAACCAAGTTTTCTGTACGTTATGAAAAATTATTCTCACTACACAAAAGAAAAACAATAAAAGGGAGCAAACCACCACCCAGCACAAATGACTAGATCATGCCTTTAATTAAACTGATATGACCCGTCATCCCCGCCTCAGCTAGGGATGCGCCGAAATTTCAGCTGCCAACACATTTCAGCGAATGAAGAAAGTACAATTTTTTGGCCGAAAATGTGGTCCATCCCTAGTTTTTCTCCTCCGTACTGGGTGCTGTTCTACGTCTCCTCTGACACAGAGCAGCACCCAGCGGGAGGAGAGAATCTTTCAGGAGGCCGAGCAGAGCAGGGCAGAGATTGCCACCAGTTTTACAAGAGGCCAAGCTCTCCTCCCTAACCGCCCCGCTCGGCCTCCTGTAATAGGCAGAGACTCTGGATGGAGAGTGGTGTGGCGGTCACAGGAGGCCGAGCTGGCAGGGGAGGAGTCAGCTGTCAGTGGTGTCACAGGAGGTCCAGCTCTCCTCCCCACACTGCCTACCTGTGACAACAGTCAGAATGGAGAGCAATTACAAGAACTCAACGATCAGCTGATCTAGGTGTTTGTAACGGAGGACATAGTATGTGTACTGTCTCCCCAAATATGAACAGGAAGTGTTTTACATCACTTCCTGTTCATTTAAAAGATTGTGAACATAGTAGCGCGTACTATATCAACAGTTAATGAACAGGAGCACTCAGTATAGAGGCTTCCTGTTCATAACAGGGGCTGCAGAAGAAAGAAAAAAAAGATTTTAGGACTCGGTCCTCAACCTCTTTTATTTCAAAAGGGAAATATCAGGGGTCTGTTTAGACCCAATATTTCTCCAGAACCCCCAACAGTCAAACTAAAAAAATATAAAAACAAAAATAATTTTAAAAACGGTTAGAAAAAAGTTTCGGCCTGACATTTTTTTTTTCGGTTTCAGTCCACCTCTAGTCTCAACTGCTCCACAGCCAGATTTGCAGGCTAAAAGGGGGACTCATCCAACAGTTCATGAACAACTCCACATCTAACTGAACCATTCTCAGTTGGGCACAGCACATGACCCTCAGTTATACATGCGCTCCATTGCAGAGTTCCTCCAGGGCTACAAAATCCCTAGTCATAACCTACACAGGGAACCCTGATCCAGAACCTCAGGAGTGAAAGCAGAGCATCTACTACATTTTATATTTCTTATACGGGCAATTCAGATGCATCAGTAGAAAAATTATTTAACCCCTTCGTGACTGACGTACAGTGTACGTCGCCAGCATCGGGGCTGTTTAAACAGACTCCCGGTGACTTTTGCTGCCGGGACTCTGTTTAAACTTGTAGAGCCGACTGTCGGCTTTACAACAGAAGCAGATTACTACACTACAGGTGCATGTAGTTGCAATAAATGGCTCGTGTTTACTGGCAGGGTGATCATGGGCGATCACTATTGCAGGGATCTGTGTACAACAATCTTTATGGCCATGTTCACACCACGCCTGGAGCAGATGTGCCAACGCAGTGCATTTTTTTCTAAGCTTAAAATGGGCTTTCAGGTGCAGTCCCGTGCATTTGCATGTGTTTACATGCGTTCAAAAACGCTATTTTTTTTGTAGTCTGGATCAGAATGGACTGCGCTGGTGTGAACAGAGCCCAGAACTACCATAGGGATACATTAAGATGCTATTTTGGGCCGGGAACGAATGTACATGGCACCATTCAACCCTGCACTCAGTATGTCAAGTAACGCTTGCAAATGGTGAGCACTAATTGGTTATAAAGGTCATCTGACCATGCTGGCCAATGAGAAGCACTTCTTGGCAAGAAGGGAGAGATGGGCCGATTTGTGGGGGCTCATTCCATTTTCTCACATTGAAGCTTCTACAAACAGGTTAGAAGTTATACTTAGTAGACCATACAATTTGATGACATTACAACACACACACTTCTTGGACTCAATGTGGACACCACTCAAGCAGTGCAGAGACTGGACACAGAATCCCAATCTGTATCAGACTAATAAAACTAACCTTCCTTAGCGAGAGGCTTCCTAACCACATATTGGCGCACATCATCTTCTTTGGACAGGTTGAAGAGCTTGCGGATTCTGCTTGCCCTTTTGGGCCCCAAACGACGTGGAACAGTGCTGTCTGTAAGGCCAGGGATGTCCTTCTCTCCTGCAATGTAAACCAGTAGAATATTCACACCATACTCATCCTGGAATTGTAGTGGCAGAGATCAATGCATTTAGATGAACATGTGTCTCACCTTTCCTGACAATAACCAAGTTCAACACACTTAAGTTGGCATCCACAATACAACCACGCACAGACTTGCGCTTGCGCTCGCCAGTCCTCCTGGGGCGGTAACAGGAGTGGCCCTTGCTCAGCAGCAGACGGACACGTCCATGGGTGAGAACACCCTGTTTCATGGGGAAACCTTGCTTGTCATTGCATTCTGGTTAGTATAACAATCCTCATCTCAATGCCAGATACTCCCCACAGTGCTTTTCCATCACCACAAGCAGGAAAATCTCCAGCTACTACTGTAAAGGGATTGTGCCTTCCTCATGTCTCCTCACCCAGTCACAAAACTCCTTGTACCAGTTTCATAAAATGCAACAAGTACTGTGAATGAGCAACGGCTGGATGAACGTCAGGGTCACCGTCATCCATTCACAGAATGCTTTAATCTGGGAAAGTACAAAGTTGTGTGAATGGTTGAGGAACAGGAAAGGAGGGTGAACGGCACGATCCATCAGAGTAGCAGCAGCCTCTCCAGTTTGCAGTGATGGAAGATCAGTGCAGTGGAGAGCATCTGACATCACTGAGGGGAGGATCATTACACCAAACATAAACCATCAGAGCAGGGGAGACAAACTCCAGCCCCCCAGCTGTTGTGGAACTACAAATCCCATGGGGCATTGCAAGATTCTCACAACTCCCAGGTAAAGGCATGGCAGGATTTGTACATTCTTTACAGTCGGAGGGCCGACGTTTGCCCACCTCTGCATTAGAGGTACATGATGACACTTTGGCTGCACCGAATATCACCTTCATGCAATGCACAGTGTGTGTCACATACATAACAATTAAGTTATTAGACATCACACAACACCTGTGAAGCTACAAAAACAATTCCTTACCTTCCATTCCTCGCCCAAGGGATCAGCTGCAACTTCCGTGGCCATACGTTTCTCATAGAAGGTACGCAGCTTGCGTTCATCATCAACTTCAACCAGCTTCTGGCAGCCAGTGGCCGGGAAAGAGATATTAAGCTGAAATAAAAGACAGAGCAGGTAAGTGTATGAAACATCCAGTCCCCAAATCCACTTATCACCTTGCAGTTCAACACGGCACTGGGAAGAACAGCATGCGTTGCAGCTACAGCATTTCCAGAGCCGACTCTGAAAGTCAGCAGAGTGTCCCAACATATCAGCAGCGTTCTTAAAGTATACGTAAACCCAATATCCAAAATATCACGACGAGTGTTCTTTTCAAATCTGCAGCTTTTATTAAAATACTTGTGATCCTGCCAGATAGATCCTTGATCAGGCATTTCCTTGTATGCAGTGACAACATCCTGTCCCTATCTCCCAATCAAGCTTCTATGTTGTCACATGGGCTTCTGGTGTAAACAAGTGGTCTTTTAAACACACATTGCACAGGCCACTATTACCATCAGGAAGCCAGCCCTGATCAATGCCACACAGCCATTGAAGGAGTGCATGTAGACTGCAGGAGCAGAACTGAGATGCAATAGGATGAAAAACTAACTACTAAGTATTTTATAACAACAAATGGTGACTGTTTACAATCCATAATGCTTTGGAGATCCCAATGTTATCCAGGTGAGGTTTACCCCAACTTAAAGCAAGGAAGGAGGTTTACTCCCAATGGACAGCACTTAGATTTGTGGCTCACAGACTATAAAAAGCACACAGATGGAGCAATGTGACGTAAGAGTAAACATGCGTCTTCTCCACTATACCATGAGCACTGGCACTTACCAACCTCCTGACAGGCAGTGGGTGAAGCTACAGCAGCCAGGGTAGTACATAGCGGGTCTGTTCTTACACACAAGTTCACGCCTCAGCACACTGAACAGCTCAGTCATCTGCACAGGCCACGCAGACAGATCTCCACACCGCAGCCATGTTTCTATCTGACTGCTGCCGGCTCAGGTCCCCGCACAATCCGCCACCATCCGACCTCGAAAAAGCCACTGAGCCGCCCAACCAGTCATCCGCTGCCTGCTACACACTCAGCCCTGCAGTGCCCTCATCATATCTGCCATGCCAAAGCTGTACAAGCCTATATTTTAGCCCTCATTTCCAGGCTCACCTTCATGACTGCACAGCCTATCTCAGGTCCCCCGCCGGAAAGAGGCCGAGCTTCCGTTCAGTGACCTCACATAGGGAAGGGGAGAGCGGCTTCCATGACGTCACCCGATCACTGTTAGTCCGGGCGGAAGCGCCCTCTGCTGGAGGGAGGCTCTCATCGTTTGTATTTTTCTTGGACGCTAACTTGAGATTCTATTTATTTGCAGGAGCTATCCAGGAAGATTTACGTTAAATGTAGAAAAGAATAACATAGCTCACAACTGGCCCTTATTAAACCCTCTTTTACACCATAGTCCTCTGTCCCTCTTTCCTCCCCAGTTTTCCTCTTTCTGGTCTGCTGTATACACTTCCATAAAAATGGATACATGAAAGCTTTCATCCAAACTCTAAATTATTACATTTGTGCATTTCAAAAGCCAATATAAAAGAAAAGATATCATGGGAAAACAACACTTATGGATTTAAAGTGACATTAAACCTTCAGATTTTTTAACATAAACCAATACTGTAATGTGTGCCTTACCGTAATCCATGGTAGTTTCCCTTCTCTTTGCTGCTCTTCCTTTTAAATCCTCATGTCTTCTCATGCTTGGGGAGAACTTCCCTTTGCAGCTCAGGGCCTCTTCCTGTAGTGCTGGCTCAGGTTACAAGCTTATAGAAACTAATACACAGACACCGTATATCCATTCCTGAGACAAGGCAGTCTGCTGCAAAACAGAAGTTCTGCTGAGCATGAGAAGAGATACAGAAGTTCTGCTCAGCATGAGAAGAGCAGCAAAGAGAAGGGAAACAACCATGGATTACAGTAAGGCACACATTACAGTATTGTTTTATGTTACAAAATCTGAGGGTTTAATGTCACTTTAACTAATTATTTTTGTGTAGTAATATTATTATAATTATACAGGATTTATATAGCGCCAACAGGTCGCGTAGCACTTTACAATATATGGAAGACATTACAATCACAATACAATTCAAGACAAGATGGTAAGAAGGGCTCATGAGAGTTTACAATCTAAAAGGGAGTGGCTAGCGATACAAAAGGCGGTTCCCGATATGGGGATAAGTTGTTTAAGGGGTTGTTCACACCTCATCCAGTGCGTTCCAAGCGGAGGCAGATGTAGCACGTGGTGTGTCCTGAAGCTCCAACAAAGTATCCTGCTGATTACTGAGGCCTCCAGCTTCTGTTGCTACACCTGGCAGCCAGCTGATTGCAGCTGATCCTGGCCGGAAGAACACATAGGCAAGCAGTGGTCTGGATAGCAATTTCCCGACCAGGTCCTGGTAGGCTATGACGTGCAAAAAATAAGTCGCGGCGTGGATAAAGCTGAACTCCGGGATGAGCAAATATTGTCTTAAAATGGACCTTTTCCCCCTGTGACTAAAAATCACATCAACATACAGCTATGCATGCTGATATGAAATTGTCTTACATTCATTAGCTAAACAAACATATTTTTATTGTACTTACAATTTTTTTTTTCCACTTTCTGGTCCACCTTGGCACAAATTATGTAATTGTGCCCAAGCGTTGCATCCTGGGAATGTTACATCAGCAGAGCACTGCTGGGAAATCTCATCTGTAATCTCATGAGATCTCAGGGAAAGGCATTTTCCTCCCCTGAGATGATGTGCATGGTCACATGTCCTAGTCACATGTGCCAGAGTTCCAGGAGGTAAAAAAAAGATCTAGTAATCTGCCCTTAGTAAAATAGCCACTATCAGAAGAATGGGGAAGTAAAGAAAACTAAGGTATGCAAAGAATAAAAAGCTGGCAATTATCTAGAAGTATGTGTTTGTAGATTGTCATTACTAAACATTTCTAAATGTGCCTTTGATGCTATTTTGAAGATATGAGTAACGTTCCTGTTTAATACAAGTGTATTCTTGAATGTTGAATGTTGAAAGTTGAATGTTGGTGTGCTTTGTGTATTTCTTCCAGGCCTGTGCAATAATCCATTCTGAAATATCACCACTGAGGAGGAGAAACCTGTAATAAAGACCAGTCACTGCTGCTCTCTTTCCTTGTGCAGGGTGACTGGCCTTCTATCTGCCCTGCTCCTGTAGTCTGCAGGTAGCCTATAGTGGGTGGGGCCTACTGGGCCCCTCCCACATATCTGCACATGATGATGTCACTGCTACTTTTATATGATGAGACCTGCATTTGGTGCACACAGTGAATTTATATCCTTTGTGGCTATTGAGGAGTATATTTAAATAAAAGTATTTCTTCCCAGAGTTCAACTTTCACATATAAAAAAGCTACACAGAAACAAAAGCACACAACCACAATTAAATTTCATGGAATGTGCCTGTCTTATCATTGTTTTCACATTTTACAGTGGTGATAACACTGTATATGTATAAGAGGAAATAGTTAAAATGCCTTGACAGTGCCAGAGGTCTATAGCTCTAATGAAGGCTGCAAACATGAAAAACGGAAACAAAGGAAGCCACACTTCTTTCTAGTTCAGTGACCTGAATGCATATAAACTATATATGGAACTGTCAGCAATCTATAAGGGATTTCCCAGAAACGGGTAACAATCGAGAGGATGTTTTGCCTTAATTTAAAATCCTGGAATGAATCAGAATGCCTGGATAAACATATGATTAGTGTCTTTAAGAATGCTGCATCTGGAATGCTACTACGGTATGAGTGCACAGTAATAAGACTATTGGTATAACAACAAAACATTCTGTTAGCCATGTGAAAGTCCCTATTCCTATGCTATACAAGCTGGTTGGTTGCCATGCACATCTGCTCCAGAATGTGTCTGCTCCATTTATGATCAATTCCCCTCATTGTATTGTGCTTATTCATGTCAGAATTGAAATTGAATTGTAACTCCACTTAAAATGTTTTTTTCTAGAGGGTAGAATTTCTGTCAAGTTTTTATTAGGCCTCATTGAAATAGGCAGCGTTAAGAACGGCCAGATGATCCAGACCTAATAAATAAAATAGTAGCTGCTGAGCCCTGCATACATGCTGCAACACCAATTTTAAGAAGCATGTTGCTTTTGGCAGCTGGTGCCACTTCCCAGATGCGACAGTTGCACACAGTTTATCCAATCAGGTAGACTCTTATTGCTGGTAGATTTAAAGGAGGTTGTATAAAAAATTGGAATGTGTGTAGTGAGCTTAAGGTTGGCAAGAGGAAACATTAAGTACTGTTGGGGGGACAGGAGATCTACACTCCCAGAAGTCTGTTTCCCCATGTACATCACATGAAGATTTCTCATAAACGGAGTGGCGTTCTGGCAGCATAGCAAGGGGAAAGGTAACAAATGACGACCTTCTTTCACGGGTATGCCTCATTTTACATTTAAAATGTTACAGTTGGCATTAGAACACTTGGTAGGAGGAAATTTGCCAAAGGGGACTCCTGTTCTGGTGACTTGGGGAGATTTCTGCACACTTCCTGTTGTTTAATGGGACAGGAAGTAAGATGAACTCTCCCTAGTGTGGACACATACATAACGATAGAGCTTCCAATATTTTCAACACTCCTTTCACAACTAGAAAAACTGTTTTGTCTGAAGCCTAACTGCAAAAGGAATTACCTTTCACACATGCCTAATTGTAAACAAGAAGAAAAGTGGAGTTGTTATCCATAGTGACCAATCAGGTTTAATTATTGTTATTCTCTGGGCAAATAAAACAAGGAATGTCATTGGTCACTATGAACAACACCCCAGATAGCAAGGATAACTTGCTACAAACTTGTGGGGGGGTGAAATTGTTTTTTTGTGTTCACTTGCTGCACACATTCCTGGCAAGTTGTAGACTTGCAGAACACTCGCAGCACAAGTTCTAGTTGACACTTTTTGAATTTGTAGCAAATTTGCTTGGCAAGTCTACAGCAAGAGTCCTGCAGGTCTTAGGCCCCGTTCCCACTGCGCGATATGCAAATCGCTCGTTTGTCGCGCAATTTGCATATTGCGCGACATCGCGAGATTTGCCGCGCGATATCGCGTTCAAGCTTGCATTGAGCAAGCTTGAATCGCGGCTAAATCCGCTCCAAAAAGGGTCCTGCTGTAGCGACACACGACCCGCGACAGCAGGACCCTTTGCCCCATTGAAATGCATTGGAGCGCGATATCGCACGGTAATTTGCTGCGATATCGCGGGAATTACCGCGCGATAAATTGCTCAATGTGAACGGGCTTTAGCAAGAGCTCTGCAAGCTCACTGGTCTGGAGACTTGCAATGCAGACTTGCTGTAATTGTGCAACAAAATGGTGAAGCTTGGCAAGTCTGCAATAGTTTAGCAAGTCATTTTCAAACTTGCAGCTCAATTGCTTGCTATCTGGGACCCTTTATTCCAATTTACATTTCTTGAATGTTTTTTATAGGAGGGTCGTTATTGTTCTTGGCATGTGTTTGAGAGTTGTGAACAATGCTATTATAATGAGTATGACTATGTAGCAGTATTTAACTAGTAATTATAAAGCAAGCTAGAGGAATGTCATTTGGAAGTGATGTGAATGACACAGCACACCACCTGCCCAGAGCCCACAGAGATTGTAATATATTTATTATAATTATTAGCTATCCTGCCCGTGACTGTCTTTGTTGCCTTTAGGTTCTGCATGGGTGCAGTCCTTGCTGCACGTGCAGCCCACCACAAATGGTAACCGGGTATACAGCAATACTACAGAATGCATGGCAAGTGATTTTGAAGAAAGAATGCCTCTAAACTCCCTTTTATTAAAAAAAAAAACAATGAACCCAATTGATCAGCACCAGGTGTAGTATGTAGAATGAATAAACATTTGCTATGTTTATAGCTTGTTTATGTGTGTGGTTATAAAAAAATATTCCTTAAGTATGAAGTTCCTGTAAGAAATTTGCTTGCCTGATAAAAGTTGTGCAACAATGTGAAACAACCTTAAAGTGACATTAAACCCTCAAATTTTTTAACATAAACCAATACTGTAATGTGTGCACTTACTGCAAAAGTAATTGCAGTACGTTCTGCAAAAGGGGCCCAAACCAAGTACTGAGTACATATGCATGCTTGTACTTTTCAGAGGTCCGATATTGTTCTATGTACAATCCTTGTTTTATTGATTGCATGTA